TATGGGCCCATTTCATTACAGTTCAAGCGGATGCTGAATAAGGAACTATCACATCTTAGCGAATCAAGCAAATCTGGCAACCAGATATCTGAATATATTAGTTCGACTTTCTTAGGTTTGGAAAGATTTCACGAACAATAATTGGATGAAATTACAACTAGTTTTTTGATACCAACAGATAAACAACAGGAGCTGGATATCCCCTACAGTAGAGATGATTCGGATATGCATAACCCAAGCTCACTTTCCCGAAGCCGGTCGCCCCGGATGGGTGAACGGATGTCCCAGATATCCGGCTTCAAGCGACCGTTGCAGCATACGAATTCTTTCACCAGTGATCGATTGCCGCAGTACGGAGTCGATACGCCACACGAACACCAGTTGGGGCCGGTTCTCAACCAGATCGACACCTGGGGCATCGACATTTTCAGAATCGAAACTCTAAGCAACAATCGACCGCTGACCTGTGTAGCTTTTGCTATCTTTCAGGTGATTGCAATCAAATCGATCATCGAGCTTACCCGAACTTACCCATAATTTTATTTTTCGTCCAAAATATACACAGGAAAGGGACATACTGAACACTCTTATGATACCATCCAAAGTTTTTCTAGCGTTTATGACAACCTTAGAGGATCATTATGTTAAGGATAATCCATTTCACAACTCACTGCACGCAGCGGATGTGGCGCAGAGCACTCACGTTCTGCTGAACACGCCGGCCCTAGAGAATGTATTTACTCCGTTAGAGACCTGCGCAGCACTATTTGCCGCCTGTATACATGATGTTGATCATCCAGGTTTAACCAATCAGTTTTTAATTAATTCAAGTAAGCGGCTAGCAATTCCTTGCGAAATGATTTGAATTGACATACCTTCTCTTTTGAATTTCGTCCCAACTAGGTTCAGAACTAGCAATTATGTACAATGACGAGTCCGTACTAGAGAATCATCATTTAGCAGTTGCATTTAAACTCATGCAAAATGAAGACTGCGATATATTACGCAATATACAGAAGTAAGTATTAATCATCATCGAAATATGATAAAAGGATCAAGATGGGTGTTAAAAACGTCGAGTATCGATTTACGAATTGCGAATTCTTGCATGATCCTTGTCTCATTTGAAATCAGTTTTCATTTGGCATAAAGCATTATTCATAAAGAAACCTGCACGGTAAGAAAAAAGTATCCAACGGCCAAGTTCACTTTTACCTACTTTTGACTAGTTTGTCTCATTTTCTCCTTCTAATGTTGTCAAAAAAGAAGGAGCAAAACCACCCAACAAGGGTAGTAAAGTGTGGGAGCCCAACGTTGGGAATAATCATATTTACCTACTGTTGGGTACAACTAACTTACTTTTGGTTAAAAAGCTAGTGGAAAATTCCATACGAACTGCACACAAGTAAATGAAAATTATTATTATTATTATTATTATTTATCTTTATTAGGGAGGCTTTCAGCCTTGGGCTGGTTCGCCTCCAACAAATGAAAATTACTTTGACCCGCTTTACCTACTTTTGGGTTCCTGCACTATAGTACCGAGATGAGTGAAAAGAACTTAATGTTGGGTACATTTTTCTAACCGTGTGAGGCTTCATAAGAAGCGTCAAAGACATGGAAAAAAAGGAAGACAAAGAATTCAAATGCATAACTTGTGAAATTGTTGGTGCCCTGATGTACTTAGTATTTTAGTAACTAACTTGATGTGCAACAGTGCTGTCATTGTGCGCAGTTCTTTAGACCAGTGGAATCAAATGTTGTCCTTAACTTAAAAGCAACATTTTTCATTGAACTAAGTGTCAATCAATGATTTTTTTTATATATTGTAAAATATATTATAATTCTTATGTTGGAAATCAATGATTTTCTGTGAAATTACCAATGATTTAAAAAATTTCTACATTTAGGTTCAACTGCTTTAATTTTTTTTTTCCAAAATCAAGCCGAACAATCCATTAGGTCCTAAGAAACATTGACAGATTCACTTTGTCGATTTTCTCTTTGCATCCATGGGTGTAACGAATTCTTTTTATTTTAGTCCAACGAATACTTTTAAATAATCCAAATTTCAATTTGGTTTTCTTAGAGGCAATCTAAATCCAACAAAACTATTAACAACAGTAAAAAAAAAAACTATTTAATACAATTCTGCAGCGCAGGTTTTTGATTTGGCTGCAATTGCTAATGCTGTCACTAATGATTAATGTTTCCATTTACACTGCTAGCCGTCTAATCATGCGTCATTCTGTTCCGTCTGTCGGCCCTAGGGGAAGGCAGCTGGCTTCTTTTAGTTGGTTTTCACTAGAAATACTCAGAGGCAGAGATAGGCGGAGAAAACAAAATACAATTCGGCAGCAGGGATTTGTACCTAAATTATCTTGCAACCCTTGCTAGAAGCCAGCATTTCACATGACTTTTATTTTTGATTCGATTTACGCGCAAAATAATATTAGATTGCATCGCAATATTTTGTACATTTCTTGATGCCATTAATTAATCAAGAGTTAGAATATTGTTTTTGATTCCAAAAACTAGTTGAATTTGAGAAGCACACGTAGCATAAAGGTGATTGAATTTTTGTTCGATTGCAATGCTCTCAAATTTTATATACCTAGTAAGAATAAGAAATCCTCGGCCAAATTCTAATGGGAATGTTCGATTGGCTCAGATTTTGGCAGTTCATTTGGCTCAAAACATTCTCTTCGCCCACCTCTCTCTCTGAATATTTCTGATTTTCACTGCATCCATGTTCCCTGCTGTATATTTTCCCTCATTGCGTGTAACGTTTTAACAGTGATGTCATTCGAACGGTACGTCTGCCTCATGGTCCACGCAAATACGAATCCATTTCCTACGGGCTATCGGGATCTTCGGGAATCGATAAACGTGATTACCATGATGTGATTTGCGATTTATACTGTATGTTTGGTTTCTACTTTAACCCCTAAAGTAAATAAATAAAAAAAGATATACTTGTGAGGAAATTTGAGATTTTAACACTTTTTTATTCTTAAACAAAAAAAAAATAAAAAAATAAATACCATGTTTATTTTATTATTCATTTTTTATCTACAATTTTGTATCAGACGCAATTTTTCCACTTCGCTAATACCAAATTCAACGCGGTTTCACAAGAATGACCTTCCCGATATCCCGATTGTTCTGGTATCAACAAACTATTACTATTCAAATACTCCAACAGCAGGCCTTTAACAAAAAGTTCTAAAATTTTCTCTAATATGTGCAAAATGTTGATGGGACGAAACTTTTCGGCTTTAATCGTTCCAGCAATTTTTTGAATAGGACCCACTAAGGATTCTTTCCAAATTTGTGGCACATGTCCAGTTTGCAATGATTCATTAATAAGGTCCAGCAAGATGTGGTCAATGACATGAAAGCAATATTGAATAACTCTAGCATTAACATTGTCTACTCCAGCCGATTTTCCTAATGAAACACAAATAACTCTAAGTTCATCATCATTCTTCAAATCTACAACTACTATTAACTGACTGTTTTATTTCGCCAGGTTTATCGACCAATTCAATGGATTGATTAATCAATTTAAAAAATCATTAAGCTTAGATGCAATTACTTGTGCAGTCTGTTCTAATGTGCCATTAAAGTTATAGACCGCGGTTTGCAATTTAATAAAGATTTCAAAATTTTCCATAACTCTTGCTGATCAATCTTCCTTTGTACATATTCACAACAAGTTTACTTTATCGATTGTGAATACTTATTACGCGCGGTTGTGTACCTATTCCAATGATTGTCATTATTTGATCTACAAAACTTTTTGTACCATTAATTCTCTTTTCCGTTTAAAACGCAAAAGATCCCAGCTGTTGTACCAGCTGTTCAAGTTTTTCAAAGAAACAAACTTTTGCTGAACTAGTTGATTGGTACACGTTTTCAAATCGTTATTAAGAACCACTGTAGATTCATCTAAGTTACCGGCCGCGAATGGAAAATCCACGCTCCTCTCAACAAGATTTGAAATAGCATGTTTCGAATATTTCCTCCAGCACTTCAATTATACTAATTCATCGTTGTTATTGATATTATCTAATACATTAATCACTAAGGTCTTATGATCGATTATTTTCAAATCAGTATCCGTAACTGAACAAATGGAAACAAAATTGGAATAGACGTGGTCAAATAAAGTTCTACTGTGTCTGGAAATACGCGTATATTCATCTACCGTTTGCTTTAAATTGAAAAAATCAGCTTAACGCTTCAAATGATTCGAATTATAGTTATCACGAATATTAATATTAAAAACATTAGCTAATATATTTAATTTACTAGAATCATGGAATGTCTCCAGCCAGTTCTTTAAAACTTCTACGAAACGCTGGTCACTAGAACTGGGAGAATGATATATCCCGGAATACTATACTGATCAAAAGCTTCACTTTCTACAATATGAGCTTCAGATAATAAAACTAAAAGTGTACGTTTTTCCTCAACAATCTGACGTAATGCTACGTAGTTTGTTGACAACCCCGCAATATTAAAATACTAAAAATCGAATTGATTCACATTCCTGGAGCTTGGCTGCTATTTTTTGAAACGCAAGCTGCTTTTCTTCTGATTAAAAAGTCTTTTATAGAGCAAAAATTCAGAGGTAAATGCGGCATGGTTGACTTCCAAGTTCATTTTACGTTATTTAGTCATTTTCAAACAATTAACACACTTCAATACAGTTGACTACACCCCGACGTTTTGTGTTGTTGGCTGCCTAGAGCAGCTCTCACAACTTTTGCAATCCATGCTCTTGTACCCAAATTCTCCACATTTGAAGCATCTCAAACATTAATCGCGGGAACTATCGAGCACTGATCAAACCCTACATTTACTTTTTTCGCACATAACATATGTATCGACATCGACTTCAATTACAATACTAAACTTGTTATAAGTGAAGCGTGGATTTTCAAACACTAGTTTTACATCATTTATAGCAATGAAGTTAGTAGCTATTCAATCCGTTTTAACCAGCAAAAAGGTTTTAATTGTAGCTCAATTTTTATTATTCCACCTTAATTTTAAATACAGATAAATTTGTGTTGTCTGAATTTCTGTGACCTACATGAGGACTATCAGTGGGTCGCAACCCATAGATTGAGAAACGCTGGCCAGGGCAATAAATGCACGGTTTAACCAAAGTGGCGGGTTCGATTAGGTATTTTTCGAGGGTTGGACATTTACTCGATTCTTCTTGGAGGTATCATTGTGTTTGTCACACTATATACAAATTCATGCATTGTTTGGCAGAGAAATTATTAAGTGTGAAAGTGCATCTAGAACACTAAGTTCAGAGCCGGCAAAACACTCGCATACGCTTTAATAATTGCAAACCTGATTGTCTGAACCTGTTCAAAATTTCACGATTTTTTGAAAACTCTAAGAAAAATAATAAATAAATAAGATTTGATGTTGTTAACTGCACCGCATTAGCAAATAAACACATTGGAGACGTTTTACTATCATTGAACTCGCACTGTATTATATTTACTGAGTTTTTTTTTTTAACGAGAAGCTTACCACCCCGAAAAATAATTCGTTTTCATTTTTCTAAAAATATTGGAAAAAGATACCGAAAATCTAAACAAAAAATACAGTCTCCTATTTTAAAGAAAACTTCAGTTTAAAATCATTATTGCCATCATGACAAAAATTGGGTTTTAAAAAAAGACAACTCGGTTTTGTAAAAAAAAAGTTTTACATGTACATTTTCTCGAGAATCTAAGGAAAAAACTGAATTTCTTAGACTTTTGATACAGTAAGGTCGATTGTTTGATGCGAACTTGAAATAGATTAATTGTAACTAAACATTCAAAATATGCAAATTCAATATTCTTCGTTTTGCCGAAGATTTGTTTTGCTCGCGGTTAGATGATAGCAAAATTCAATTTGGACAATAGCAATCTATGGTCAATTAATGGTTTAGTGGGTATAAATTATAAATTTCACTATGAATGCAAAGTCGAACAGGGCTCCCCTTAAGAAAGAATGGCCCTTTTATGATCAACCGGTAACTTATTCGTATTAGATTAGATTAGTTGAAAAAGGAAGCAGTAAAGGCTCAGTGGACGACGAAAATGAAATGCCGACCACAAGGGGACAGAGAAATATGTTCACGTCCTCAATCGGAATTTATTGTCCCGCTGAGACTGGTTAAAACTTTAGATGTGAATACCGTCCGAACGAGTATAAGACCCACATATTCCATCGCTTTTGATGGTTACTTTTATTAACAAGTCCCAGATTGATTGTCGATGGTTTCGTCAATAAAACGTTAAATTAAGTGCGACATCTGTAATTCGATTTTACTTTCTGCTCTTCGCTTCCCAGGAAACAACGTCAAACGTTTAGAAAGATGGTTATCGATATGGTGCTATCAACGGATATGTCAAAACACATGACATTGCTGGCCGATCTGAAAACAATGGTGGAGACTAAGAAGGTTGCGGGATCTGGAGTTCTACTATTAGATAATTATACTGATAGGATACAGGTGAGTCATATTAATCTTTTGGTTGGTTAGCTAATCACATAATCGTTATTATTTTTTACTAGGTATTAGAAAATTTGGTACACTGTGCTGATCTCAGCAATCCCACCAAACCATTACCCATGTACAAACGATGGGTTGCCCGGCTGATGGAGGAGTTCTTCCTGCAGGGCGACAAGGAACGGGCTGCCGGTATGGATATCAGCCCAATGTGCGATCGGCAAAACGCGACAATCGAAAAATCGCAAGTCGGCTTCATCGACTACATTGTGCATCCATTATGGGAGACGTGGGGGGATCTTGTGCATCCTGATGCGCAGGACATTCTCGACATGCTGGAGGAGAATCGTGATTACTATCAGAGCTTAATACCACCTTCGCCACCTTCACTAGATGAAGCGGAAGATAAGATTCGTTTTCAGGCAAGTACTCGTTTATGACTATTCAGCAATTCCATAGAAAAAAGTTATAGTGGGTCTCAGAATTTCATGAAAATTGGTATAGTTCTTCCTTATCAAAAATATTAGACTCGTATTTTTTATTGCGCCATTAGGGTGACCATTTCCGTGTTAGGGTGGTCCAAAAAATCATTTTTTTTTTCAAAAATGTCTTTTTTCAAAAATTTATAACTTCTGAACCTTTTGACCGATTTTTACGATTGACCCTTCAAATGAAAGATGTTTTAATGTAGTTTTAAGAAAAATTATGAAACACTCAGAGATATTTGATTTTGTAGGAAAAAAATATGTTACAAATGCTTTTTCTTGATTTTCACTGCGAGGGTCTTCAACAACTTCTTATTTTAGTATTTTTAATTGAAAGATCATTTAATTTTACATAACATATCAAAAGCGATGTTGGAGAAGCAGTTTTGGAGATACAATTTTTTTTAAATAAAAAATTATTGTTCCGCAATATATGCACCACACGTGCATGGGGCCTCAGATAGCCTAGTCGGTAAAGGCACGGTATTACCAAGCCGGAGGCGGCGGGTTCGATTCCCGGTCCGGTCGAGGGAATCTTTCGGGTTGGAAATTTTCTCGACTTCCCTGGGCATAGTGTATCATTGTACTTGTCACACAATATACAAATTCATGCATTGGTACTGACATCGGAAGCTCTCAATTAATAACTGTGGAAGTGCATCTAGAACACTAAGTTGAGAGCACGCAATAAGCTAATATGCGAAAAGCAATAAGCTTGAAATGCGAAGAAGAAGAAGAAGAAGAACGTGCATGGAAACGATGAAGACGCAAGGTAGTTCACAATGCGTCTCCATCGAGTCACAGCAGCTGTGACTCGATGGAGACGCATTGTGAACTACCTTGCGTCTTCATCGTTTCCATGCACGTGTGGTGCATATATTGCGGAACAATAATTTTTTATTTAAAAAAAATTGTATCTCCAAAACTGCTTCTCCAACATCGCTTTTGATATGTTATGTAAAATTAAATGATCTTTCAATTAAAAATACTAAAATAAGAAGTTGTTGAAAATCAAGAAAAAGCATTTGTAACATATTTTTTCCTACAAAATCAAATATCTCTGAGTGTTTCATAATTTTTCTTAAAACTACATTAAAACATCTTTCATTTGAAGGGTCAATCGTAAAAATCGGTCAAGAGGTTCAGAAGTCATAAATTTTTGAAAAAAAGACATTTTTGAAAAAAAAATGATTTTTTGGACCACCCTAACACGGAAATGGTCACCCTAATGGCGCAATAAAAAAATACGAGTCTAATATTTTTTGATAAGGAAGAACTATACCAATTTTCATGAAATTCTGAGAGAACTATAACTTTTTTCTATGGAATTGCTGATTATTAACCTTCCAGCTGTCGCGCGGTGCTCTAAGAGCACGCGCAAAAATACTCTATTTAAAGATTATGTTATCAACAATTTCCTTGGAGAGTTGACTTTTTTTAGTATCAAAGCCGAAATACTTTAAGGTGTGCTCATTAGTGTGCCCCAAAACAGCATTTTGAAACCTGGAGGCTCACCCTCCAAATAGCTTTTTTTTAATCTTTATTTAAGAGATTTTTAGTAATCTCTTTAGTTCATCTCTTCCTCCAAATAGCTTAGGATGTTAGCAACAAACTTTTGAGGGTCGAAAACTCTGGGAAATGTTGATTAGAGGTTTCAAATTTGAGTTTTTTGAAAGGAGTTCCTTTTCTTAGATTATATCTACAAAATATTTCTAATTCTTTAAGATCTTGCGCAAACTAACCCTTTTTAATTCTGTTTTACAGATTTTCTAGGGTCCAAACTATATGAAATAAAAATTGTCACGGGATAGTTTGTGTAATTTTTTTTTTAATTCTCCGTACCGATGATTTCATTTACCCCGTAACGTGGATAGATCACCTTTTCGTGGTACGTTACGGGATGTAAGATCTACAACCGATTCCAAGTCCTGACTACTTCAAACTAGGGGAACAGGATTTTCCAGTATTCCAAGGAACACATCTTATGCCTTGTTGATAGTGACAAGACTCGGCTTTGTCTACCGAGGATGATGTTGAAACAAGGAAAAAAATGAGTTAGTTGTCTTCATCTATGTGATTCCTAATCTTCTATTCGTTGTTCCCTAGTTTGAAGTGGTTAAGACTAGGATTCTGATGCATGGGCATTATCGGTGTCATACCTTAATTTTGTTGCTAATGAATCCAATTTTGACTGACAAAGAGGCGCGCCTTTGGAGGGTGTTTCAACACTCCGAAGGGTATAAATAGCGGGACCTTTCAATTAGAGTTGGATCCTTACGATAAATGCTAGAGTGGCAACTGTAAAAAAAATCGAATACTTCACGGTCGCAGTAGTGTTAGGTCCCGAACAGAGGAAAAAAAATATGTTCATTTCAAATTTGACGAATCCCAAGTAATATTGTAAGATTTAAAGAGGTTTTATAGCCTTCTACTATCATGGTCTACAGAACCCTCATAAAACCAAAATTGTTACTTGGGATGTTGAAATCTTGCTTAGATATTCACGATTTACCGAAGGATTTTTTTTTAATTCTTAATATATTCTCAGTGGAAGGTTATGTTTATCATCAGAATTAATCTTATTATTATTTTCAGCTGATAACTAATCAATGAATTATTTTGAGGATATGTATTCTTAGTTTTGGCCAATACTAGTTGATTTGTTTCAGGATCAGTAGTTGGACCATACTCCATCAATTCTCTTGCCAATCCTTGAGCTGGATCAGTTCTGCCTTGGTGCAAAAATCATAAATTTACAATGAGGTCCACTCTTCTTTTATCACCCGATAATAGCGCCACTAGTGACACGAAAGGTGCCTAGTACTCTGCAAATTGAGCGCTTAGCAGTTGACAGCTCAATATCAACAAACTTATCGAAAACAACTCTCAACATTAGGCTATGAATTACTCTTCATGGCGGACATCATGCACTACTTTTTCCAACGATTGTACATACACGTATACTCCACAGTCCAATCCAGGAACTTTTTTCGAAAATTCATATTTGAAAATTAAATTGGATTTTTTTTTTTTAATTCCGGTGAGTGGTTTACACATCTTTTGGGTGGTACTCCCCCCTGGACCATCGCTATTTGCTAATATGAAGCTTTAGTGTGATAATTTATTAGTTAGCCCCACAATTTATTAGCTAGCTAACACAAAGAACAGCCAGGGTAATTAACAATAGTGTTGTAATCTGCTGCCAGATTTAAGATATAAAACACATAATTTCTTATGTGAAAAGTCCAAAAAATCAATTGTTGTGTTCAGCTTGTATTGCAAAGTGTAGACTTCGGGAACCAGCTCATTTTGCCCCATTTGCCCCAAAACTAGTTATTCAAGGGAAATTAATTAGGAAATAAAACACATATTTTCATATGTAAAAAAGCTCAAAGAATCGATTGGAGCATGTATCCGAGTGTGTAGACTTTAAGGATTTAAGGGTAATTAAGAGCTACTCCCGAGGTCTACAATATAGGATACATGCTCGAATAGATTTGTTGAACTTTTTTACATAAGAAATTATGTGTATTATATCTGAAATCCAGCAACAAATCTGTTATTAATAAATAATGAGTTTTTGTGGGAAAATGGGTTATCTCTTCAGTCCGCACAGTATGAGATTTGTTGTAGTTGATTTCCTTGGCTTTTTACCATATCATCCACTACATTTTATTGCTGTGGATAATCAGCAGCGGCATATAAAGCAAAATAGCTTCTAATTTCACCAGGGTAAAATGGGGCACTTCCCGTAGTCTGCGCAAGCCAAAAACAAGGGCATTCGTTTCACGGATTGTTTTACATAAGAACAACCTCAACCTCTAGAAATCAGCGGCTCATAAATTTACACGATGTGTACTATGAATTTGTAGGGTATGTGACGCTCCATTTATGTGCATCATAGTGACTTACACTTCTTTTTGCGAATCAACCCATGATGAAAATAAATAATTTTTTGTCATATCTACATTCTCCAAAACTCCGAACGGATTGCAGTACAGCAATGCCTGATTTGATTTTGTTTCTCTTACTTTCAGATGACGCTGGAAGAGGAAAGTGCTTCCGAAAATGATGATTCAAACCGCGAGGATAAGCCCTAGAAAAACTGCACATCATCATCACCCCTGCTGTTCCCTGTCATAACGAATATACATTTAATCAAGAACTTTACAGAAATTTAGGCATATACTCATCGCACTTATAATCATGTATAAAAATCAGTACCCAAAAAGGATGAAAATAGAACACGGAAGGAGGTTGCTGGCAAATCGATACAAAGCAAAACAAACCAAAACAAACAAACAAACAAACAAACAAACAAACAAGCAAGCAACAATAACACACATGGACACATACATTAACAAACAAACGTACACATACACATACACGCGTTGGGGCTGGCTCCCTTCGCTTAATATATTTAATAATGAAATTGTAATTCGTTAATAATTTATTAGTTGAAAGAAATTTTATGAGCAACAAAGTTTTGTACGATAAGTTACTTTATTTTTGATACGTCTGAGATGTATATGTTGAAACCAAAAACAAAAATTCAAATGAAGCAAACATACACACCACACGAATAGCGAAATTTATATCCAAACCAAAAAGCATAATTTTAAATTGTAGTAGTACTAAGTACGTGACTGGGAGGGACATAACGGTCTGCTGGGAATTTCAAGGAAATATTCAGATCGCCTCCCACAAATAGTGGTTTTCTAAGTTTTATTACTTTATTCTGTAACTACTTAAAGTGATTGTGAAAGGAAAGCAAAACCCTGTCGAATAGATGGCTATAATTTGCTGCGATTATTTGTTGACAAGTGATCCCATGTTTTTTATGCCATGCTTCTGTTTTGTGGAGATATTTGTGCAATGATAACCGGCAACAGAAGAGCAACAAATGGCAAGCGAATTCGAGTTTATGTTGAGCCAGAGGAGAATCGATGAGACACAATATAAAATGAGAACAAATATAACGGTTACAAAACTGATGATATTATACGGTAAAACAGAAGAAAAACTATCTTAGGATATAAGTAGTTACTAAATAGAAGCAATATCAGAGCAAGGAAGAAACAAAGAAAAGAAAGACGAAAGACAGATTCTATTTTAAAAGATTGGAAATTGATTCTCATTGTGGGTTCATTTCGCATGTTGTCTAATCCAAGCAGTTCATTCAAATGTTAAGTTGCTCCATATTTCAAACTCATACGAATATCGAAAGTCCAAAAGATAAATTGGCTACAGCGTGTGGATAGAATCATTATCATACGAAGCAAATGACATTCGATAATCGAGTAGTAATCCATCAACAACACAAATATTCGAACGACATTTTGCGTTACGAAGAAGCTACTTTCCAAAAGATTGCTGTCGTGATATAATTTCGTGACAGCAAACTGACGTTCATCTCTGTTCTACAAACACATAAATTCTAAAACGCATTCAGTCATCATCGAAAACTGTTGTCGAAATCGTTTATTTACGCATAGATTCAATCCAGTTTATCTACAGAAACAAAACAAAACAAAAAACACACAGCCACTGCAACAACATAAAAATCAAGAATGCGATCGATAGTGTAGTAACGTGTAAGAATAGCAGTCAAATCTGTCTCGAAGCGGAGAACCTTCAACAATTAGCGAACAAGACTAATTAATAAATAATTTAAAATAAAATGAACAAAACCAAACAAAATTAAACAGAGAATCATACAAACTGTCTGATAACGCTAGTAATTAGTGAAATATTGATGTGTAACTAGTTTCGAGAGTTAGCAAAAGAGACAAAAAAAAAAACAAGCAAACAAAACCGTGAAAATGTAACTAGAATTTCGAGAAAAAATACCGAACTGTGTAGATAGTTTAGACTATTGGCTAAAATTAATTTCTTTTGTTCGTGGCCCCCCGCCGGTGCTACCAGGTATTCCAGGTACAGGTTGCTAATGTATTCTTATGGGATCGGTAACCGAAACGACAGAACGTAATGTTTACCAAAGTCTTCCATGTGAATGAAACTAATTTGGCATAGTGTTTTTTTTTTAAACATCCTCGAATATATCCGTGTATGAATTCTTTTCATAAAAGGTACTATGAGACTTTGTTCGTAGGGGAATTTACGTATTCTTGGCAACCTAAGCATCGATCATCTTTCTATAGTTTTTTTTCTCTAAGGAACGCACACATATACATTATTGGTTTGTTTACAATCTTTTGCTGCCAGCTGCTCTAACAATTTCAGTCGAAAGAATTGTCACAAACTGTTTTGAAACGCATTTACAAAGCTCCAATCTTCTCTAGTGAGAGCGGCAACTCGAAATCAGCAGCATTTTGTAGTACGTGTGTTTCATTTCAAGAAAAGCCTGCTAGATTGCTTTTTCTCAGTAATTTAAATATAATCACATTGAAGCTGAAAGGCTAAAGAATCGTTTGAATGCATTCAGCGAAGTGTTTTCGTAAGAAAATCAAGTGAAATTAGCACTTCAATTTGGGTTGCCGAAAATAGGCTGTCATACCGAAGCTGTCATTTCCCCTACCTGTGAGCCTATAAATCGTAACTTTGTTGTAGAGTGGGTTTTGCAAACTACAGACTTGCTTATTGGCAGAAATACAATCAATTGTATTTTGGGGCCATTCAATAATTACGTAAGTATGATTTCCAATATTTCAGAGACCCCCTCCCCCCTTTTAAGACATAGTAAGATTTGTTGATACCCCCATAAGGATCTTACCAACTTTTTTTTAATCGTTTTTTTTCTTGTGATCAAAACAACACTTTTTATTTAAGCAACCATTTAAAGAGGCAAACAAAACTTAAAGAACTTTACAGATCAACAGGTTTTTATGCGGATATATCTATCAGTTAATTTATTATAACATATAATATATAAATAAATTATAGAAATTCAGATAACTTATTTGAAAAGTACATTCGAAAGATCTTATTTTTCAGTATTTTATATCCAACTTTTTTTTTAATTTTGAGTTAAAAAAAAAGTTTTATTAGGACGTATTTTTTTTTTTTTTTTTTGACTTTTGCGGAAAAACTCATGATTTATAGATATATGATATCTTTTTCCAATATTTTAAGGAAAATCAAAACGTGAATTTTTCGGCCCTGGCGGTAAGCTTAATTCCTCTTAAGAGGCAACTTAACCATCACTCGATTTGCTTTTGCTTCTTCTTCTTATTCTTGTATTCCCAAATCATCACTTTCTAAAAGTATTGATAAAATTCGATGGTAGCGTGCGTCGCTGTGTCAAAACAGTCAATAAATCATAAATATCAACCGGTTTGGTGAGCAAAATCTCTTTTATTTTTTTTTACTTTTCAATACAACAGCAAATGTGACGTCACACATGCACGTGTATAAGAATGTCGTAGACAAAACATTTTTTATGATCCTGATTCATCAACACTTTTTGAGCACGAAGTGTTTAGAATCGTATTAATAAGTTTATAAATTGCTCTTTTGATTGTCGATTTCTCTAAATTTAGGTGGTGAAAAGTTGAATCTCTCACTAAGATGTGCTCGTTCCCCCGCTGCTGGCGTGCAAAAGAACCAGTATCAAGTAACTAACGGATTTCCACACATATAAGATCGACTCAAATTTAAGATTAAATTACTCAGAAAACGTAGTTTACTTGTAGAATGAGTAAAATTTTCCGTGTCTCATAAATCTTTTCGAATATGACAAAAATCGACTAAAATTTACTCATTTTAGAAGTACACACTCAAAGGATAAATCACATATCCAATGGAAAATATTCATTAGAATTACACATAACATTCATGTGATATCCCGCATAAACGATAACCATAAAGAGTGCCTAACAACCTATTCAGGTTATCATCCCAACAATATGTGGTACGGTGACACGATTTGTGATATCGTTCATGTATGGTGCTCGTTTATTAGGGATCATAATAGGGAATTGTACCACAAAATCACATGAACCTTATGTGTCAAAAGCAATTTAAGTGATTTATCATATAGAACTCATGTTATGTGAAATTCAGATAGATATCATTGATTTTGTTAATGGCTAAATATGATGTGCATTCCCAATGGAAACTACATGAAAACTTTTTTCCGTATACTAATTTCATATGTACATCGAGATGTTGTTCATATTAGAAAACAAATTCCTGTAAAGCTCGGGAAGTGTTACTCAGTCTATGAGTTAACTACGTTTTCAAGAATTTGAGTGAACTAATCTCAACTTTGAGTTGAACTCATTTGTCGTGTAATCGTAATTTATCCTTTTATTGATTATTTTTAACGTATACGGCGTAAATGGATGCATTCCCAATTCCAATTAGGTTCAATTCGTTAAAAGCAGGTCA